CTGTCAGGATGGACATGTCCATGGAGCAGCTAGCCGATGTGTATCTTCAGGGAATCGTTCGACTCCACGGCGTTCCAGCCGAGATTATATCAGATAGAGATCCCCGGTTTACCGGACATTTTTGGGAGAGTCTGAACGAGTCCATGGGGACAAAGTTGAAGTTTAGCTCCGCCTATCATCCACTGACCGATGGTCAGTCAGAACGGACCATCCAGACGCTTGAGGACATGCTCCGAGCTTGTGTCCTTGAGCATGGTGGTTCGTGGGAGCAGTTGATACCCACTACGGAGTTTGCCTATAACAACATTTACCACTCGTCGATCAAGATGGCGCCCTTCGAAGCTTTATACGGTCGCAAGTGCGGCTCACCCCTTTATTGGGATGAGGTCGGCGAGAAGCAGGTTCTCGGTCCCAAGTTGATCGAGGAAACAGTGCAGAAGGTCGCCGAGATCCGAGAGAGATTGAGAGAGGCTCAGAGCCGTCAGAAGGCCTACGCTAACAAGCGTAGAAGGGAGCTTGAGTTTGAGCAGGGAGATAAGGTGTTCCTGAAGGTCACACCGATGAAGGGCGTTGTCCGATTCGGGAAGAGGGGGAAGACGCAGCCCCAATTTATAGGGCCCTTTGATATTCTCGAGCGAGTTGGCGTCACCGCCTATCGTCTGGCATTACCCCTAGAGCTCTCGAGTGTACACAACGTCTTCCACGTGTCGATGTTGAGGAAGTATGTGTATGACCCGAGCCACATAGTGAACTTTGACGGGCTAGAGGTCGGGCAGAACCTGACGTATGATGAGTGGCCGATAGCAGTTCTGGACCGAAAGGTCCGTCGGCTGAGGAACAGAGATATAGAGCTCGTCAAAGTTTGCTGGAGTTGCCACGACGAGTCGGAAGCCACTTGGGAGAGAGAGGCCGAGATCAGAGCTCGTTATCCAGATTTCGAGTTTTGAAATTTTCAGTTGTGCATATATGTACTTTCTATTTTTATGTTTTGATGTATATAGTTATGTAGTAGGAGTTCTGGCCTAGCACCTTAGTTTTGTATTTCCGAGGATGGAAATATTTTAAGGAGGATAGGTTGTAACGCCCCAAATCAGTAATAATATTAAGAACGGTTTCACTGCTCGACTATAAGTGATATCCGTATTTTCAGAAAATTCTGAGTTATATTTTATAGGTTAAATGCTCACAAAGATAGATTATTATTTGGAATATTTCTATATTAAGTATAAGTTAAGATTAATCCATTAATTTGGGTAGTTAAATAATAGCAAGTCAATATTCGAGAAACTATCGGCTTTGAACCCTAGTTTGGTTCCGATTATTTTTCAAGTTAATTCTCGAGCATAGCCAAGTCTTAGTATTTTATATTTAGAATAATTTTCTAAGTCTTGGAATATCAAGAAGAAAGTCTCGGACATTTTATAACCGAACCCTAATGTCTAACCGTGCTCACCCGAGTCGCTCGTGCTTGTCCCGAGCCCCACGCCCTTAGTCGCGCCCAAGCGGGTGTTAGCCAAGCCCAAGGCCATGTCCTAAGCCTTAGCATCACTTTGCAAATTTTTCTAAGTGTTGAGACCGTTACCTAAGCCCTATACTCAGCCCAAGGCCACCAGCACACGTGCAGCCCACCTTCCCGCGCCAGCCAGCAGCCCACTCGCGCTAGCCCAGCACGCCCTCGTGCCCAGCCCACGTCCCCGCGCCCAGGGCCCAGCGCCATCGTTGGCAGCCCACCTTATTGAGCCCATATGACATAGTTCCGGCCCACTTTGGCCCAAGACCCCTTAATGCGTGTATTATACAGTTAATAAGGATCAGTTTAAGATAAAATGGCTCTAATGAAGATTAGCCTAAGTCAACAAGAGATTAGCCCAAAGTGGACATGTGCCTTGCATTAAAATATTGAAGATTCCTTTGTCTTTGTCCCCCAAGCTTTGACCCCGACCAGACCTGCCTTCTCACCATTATTTTATGACTTTGTCAGCCCCATTAAACCGAGAATAACCAGGTCAAAGCATACCCAAGGTCTTGGATCTTTATCCCATGCACATGAGTGGAGTTTCTCACTTTTTATGTCCCCCACCATCCCTCCTAGCTATCTCCGCCCAAACCACCATATAGGACCTCCTCCTCAGTCATTTTTAAGCTCTTTAACAACTTGAAGCCCGAGCATATAGTGAGAATTTATGTCCTAGAATTTATGATCATGTATATTTATTCAGTTTATGTATGCATGTTTATGTATTCGTATTTTGGATGCTTCTGCCAGCGAGTTTTTCTAGACAGTGCGAGATAGTACAGACTATGCATGTATAATTCCATAATCTGTGAGCGGACTGTTTGGTTGCTTGTTTTATCCCGCATGAAGTCAGTATTTTCGAAAACCCAGCTCGCACGACCTTTCGAAAATAAAAACAAAAATTTTACTCTAATTTTTCAAAGCTAGTAAGGCGGGATGTGACAAATTCGCATTACAACATTCATCGTATCTATGTCTTATAACTCACGAATATAAAGCAAAATGACGGATGCACATTACCGGACGGTAACTGAATGAAAAACAAGAAATTGAAAACATCTTGCACATAATGTTCTTCAATTATCGAAACTGGAAACAAAATTATTTACCTTCGGGTTGTTCTTCATATTATTTACCTTCGAGTTGTTCTTCAAATTACGGATTCTGAAAATGAAATTTTGCAGAAGATCTTCGAGTTGTTATTTGCAGAAGGTATTTCGAAATGAAATTTTGGATTAATTGGTTGTTTATTTGATATATGTAATTATGTTTAGGCCAAATATTAATACTAGAAAAGTTAAACCTTGTACCCCTTGTACCTAGTACAAGGGAATTTTCGTATTTCAGTAACCAATTTTTTTGAGTTTTTATTTAATTCAAGAACAAAAAGGACACATGGCATTCATTTAAGAGGTATCTGTTGTTAAGTCAGTACAAGCAAAAGTACAAGCTTACCCGATAGTAGAATCGCCCTACCAAGTATACTACACATGTAAGATGTTTGTTCCGATGGTGAGTGAAATAAGATATTCTTACCATTTGATTGATCTTCTTACCATTTGATTTTTAATGTTACATTGAAATCTTTTTTTTTTTGCCAATATATTATATACTAAATTTAAATCATGCAACTAATAAAGGTAAGAGTTGCAATATTTGACCAAATTGATTATGTACAAATATTAAATTGTCTTTTTTTATTGGCCTAATTGCCGGTAAAAGCACGACCTTACAATTTTTTGCCGTTTTAACCAAACTTTAAGAATTTAGCATGAAAAACCTAACCTTGTCCAATGTTTGCAACCCGAACCCAGAATGAAACGGCCGTCTCATTTTTGCCACCGTGTCCGTTAGCTTCACCTACGTGGCCAAACGTGCTGCTGACGTGGTAAAACGGTAAAAACCAGTATAAATACACGCATTTTCACCCAAATCAAACCCGACCTCATGTTCTTCCCCAAAATCAAACCCTAATTTTCGATCGTGTTCTTCACGATTTTGCAAAATCCAGCAGCTTCATCACCCTATCGTGTTCTTCCCCAAAATCCAGTAGCTTCATCCCAATTTAGTCGTACAAGTATCAACATCCATTGAACCCTAATTTTTGATCGTGTTCTTCATGATTTCGCAGCTTCGATCCGTGTTCTTCACCAAATTATTGCCCTAATTTCGTAGCTTCATCCTATGTAAATGTCGTACGCGTCTCGTACAAGCCCTAATTCGCAACATAGCGCTTCATCCAATATCCCCGTGTGGAGGCTGTGCGACTGTTTGGATGAGGCCGATGTTTTCACCTCTGGCACTGACGACAATCCATGTCAGAGGTTCTACAGATGTCCAAATAGAAAGGTAATTTATTATTGTATTTTGTTCTGCAATTTTACGACAATTTTGTTCTGCAATTTTAAGACAATCCATGTATTTTGTTCTGCAATTTTACTGCAATTTATTATTGTATTTTGATATGCAACAGGTAAAAGATTGTGGTTTGTTTGATTGGATTGATCCCGCATTGCCTGAGTTTCAAAAGACATCCTTCATCAGATTGAAGGATCAAAAAAAGGCTTTAGAAGAAAAGTTATGGGCCATGGAAAAATAGGACAATGATAGGTCGGGTGTGAAAGAAGTAAGCTTGTCTTCACTTGAGGAGCTTGAAAACAAAGTGACAGGGCTTGAGGTTGATGGTCACAAGAATGCTGAAGTACTTTTGGTTCTTGAGAAGACCTTAACTCAAGTGAAAAACCTTGAAAGGAAAATGTATGTAGTGATGATTTGTTTGATTGTTGTTGTTATGGTTCTTGTTGTGATTATGATTGGTAGAAATGGCTATGTCCATTAGCTGAAGATGAGCTGATGGTTTTGATTTTGTGAGGCCTATGTATTTTTTATAGGTTTTGAAGGTGAATTGTGAATTATGTTTGGTTGATATATGTAATGGAATTGAAAACCTTTTGCATGAATGTATTATTAAACTTGTGTGCTTTGGCCCCAATGTGGACATTTAAGTAGTAGTTAGTGGTCTTTTTCAGTAGTAGTTAATTAAACTTGTGTGCTTGGGCACCAATGTGGACATTTAAGATGTGTTTGTCTATATGAGGATTATAAGCTTAAGTAATACACACACATGGGGGCATTTGGTGTAGTTTGTCTCATCAAACAATAATCTACAGAGAAAGTACAAAAACATGGACACATTTCTTAAGATTTATAAATTAATTGAGCACCATGCACAGATTCAGCAGCTAACAAATAGTATAAAAGGCAGGCATAACCGTTTTTTGCACAATCAAAGAACAAAATACTTCATTTAAGTGATTTTCACATAACACACATAAATATCCCATAACACATCCAGATCCCACAAAACTAAAAAACACATCCAAAAGATCAGTTCAAATTACTGAGTCTCCACACACAAAACCAACACACCCCAAAAACAGCAAAATCAGTTTAATGGTACCACATCAGTTCAACAATACTACATCTTAATTTCCAGCCTCACTCTCTTGAGTGCATATGAAGTCCCCTGCATTCCTACCTCTCCCAGTTGACCCACTACTTTGCCCTCTTCCTCTTCCTCTTCCTCTAGCAGTGGTAGACCCACTCCTCTGCCCTCTTCCTCTACCAGTGGTTGACCCACTGCTTTGCCCTCTGGTTGTGCCACTGCTTTGGCCTGTTTCTCTAGCAGTGTTTGAAATTACATGAATCTTTTTTGCAGATGACAACTGCATTATATTATACATTAATTACCCTATATGTTAGTCAATAAATATATTATATTATATTTCAAAAATAGTGAATTCTTATAAAAAAAAAAAAAAACCACACCTTCATGTAAACATTACCAGTTCAGATTGCAAGATACCAAAACCTTTCCTTACCTGCCAAACAAATGAACAAAATAATTGAGTTGTCTAGTATTGGTACCAATTTTAGAAAATTTCCATATAAAAGTACTACCAGGGCTCTTTCTTTTTGTATGACTGATGACCGTTGACTGCACCTCCTAACCGGCAGTTTATTTATCTTCTCAACAGACCGGGTTGTCATCCACTGAACTGGTGGTCTTGTCAGCCTCTCAACTGGTGGGCTTGTCATTGTCTCAGATGGTGGGCTTGTCATGGTCTCAGTTTGGGGTGGTTGAACCTCAGTTTGGTGTAACTGAACCACAGTGTCGGGTGCAGTATGCTGTCTGGGATTTCCCCTTGGGTTCTGTACAAAGAAAATTACCATGATTAAAGAATGTAAAGAAATAAATAACAAAAACTTAGTACTATGAATGAATAGAAATTTAAACCACAATTTGGGGTGCAGTATACTTTCTGGGCCTTCCCTTTGGCTTCTGTACAAAGAAAATGACAATGATTAAAGAAAATGTAAAGAAATAAATAACAAAAACTTAGGGCATGCTTGTTTACAAATTATTTCATTTTTAATCCAATTCATACTCAAAATTTAACTCAACTTTAACTCAACCTCATTATTTTTAATATTATTCATATAATTAAATAATACAAACCAATCATTCTTACACATCACATCAACTTTAATTCACTATTCATCCACTCACATAATTTTAACTACCTATCATTTCTACTCATTTTCAATCATTTATCTCTTACTTTTACATCAAATCAATTTTAATCATTTTATTTTAAATATTATTTTAATACATTCTTAAATTCTCACTAACAATTAACCATACTACATTTTTCAAAATTAACTCTAGTTAACTAAAATAACTCATTTTGAATGAAATATTTCATAAACAAGCACGCCCTTAGTACTATGATTGAATGGAAATTTAAACCTTAGCAGGTTTCTCAACTTCAAGCAGAGTGCATGATTTCTTGTTATGCCCCTTTTGCAAACACCTTTGACATGTCATAATCAGCCCAAACCTTCTCAACTTGCCTACACTTCTGGCTTCTTCCTCAGGAGCCCTTATTCTTTTTTTCTTAGGTCTTTCAGGCATCTTCTTGAAAGGAGGGGGTAACATTGGATAACCTTCTGCAGCTGGCCACATTTTTTTTCCATTTATGGGCTCCAATGAGATGCTATACATACTCAAGTACCTCTCAGTATAGAAATACTCAGACACAAAGTCTGCAGGATCTTTATGCTGAAAGTGTATTGCTGAGCAAGCATGCACACAAGGTATTCCTGTTATATCCCATTGTCTACAAGTACAGGTATTATTCCTCAAATCCACCATAAACTGATCATCTTCTAAAACAACCTGAAACCTATCACCAACTCCATGCTTTGTGACACACACTCTTGACAAATATTTACTTTGTTCTACCTTTGATCTTATTCTAGGACAAAGCTTGTCAGGATGTCCACTCAACTCCATTAATTTCCCATGTTGTCTATTCATTAGTTCAGTCCTTACAAATTCAAGCATCTCAATGATGTGGCTTCCTCTTCCCTTAACTATAAACCAATTGAAAGTCTCACTAACATTATTTTCTATCATATCACACCTAGGAAGAGAAGAGACAAATGCCTTACCAAACTTTGAAGGATCTCTGTTGATAAAGTCTTCATAAGCTTCTTTGCATTCTGCCTTCAAGTCCTCCAAAGCAATGTTGTAGTCTCCAAGGTGAGTGCTTAGAACAATCCTCCAGAACAAATTTTTCAAAGTTTGCCCCTTGAATTGCTTCTTCCAGTTCATGTAGACATGTCGAGCACAATTTCTGTGCTCAGCATTTGGGGCCAAGCCCCTCAGAGCATTCAACAAACCCTACAAACAAAAAATTATTTAGAACATGCTAATGTTCGAAATTAAGAACATAAACTCAAAATTGCACAGAATATTAACCTTTTGTTAGTCTGAAATGAAAGTATATCCTATGTCATCCCTTATACCCACTTCTGCAAACAAAATTGAGAGAAACCACTTCCAACACTCTTCATTTTCAGCCTCAACCACAGCCCAAACCACTGGATAAATATGATTGTTACCATCTTTGGCAATGGCACATAACAAGGCTCTTCCTAAGAAAATTTTCAAAAAACATCCATCAAATCCAAGGATGGGTCTGCAGCCATTGATGAATCCCTTTCTTAGAGCACTAAAACCCACATAAAAGCCTCTTAATATGGTATTTTCCCCAAGTAAGAACTCAAACCTGCCCTCTCTGTCCACCCTCATCAACTCAGCCATATAACTTTTCAGAAAGGAGTAATGTTCTATGACAGAACCTCTAAGCATTTCAAGTGATTTCCACTTTGCTCTATAAAGCTTCCACTTTGTAGGTACAACTGCAAACTTTTCAGAAATTGCTTTTTCTAATTGTGGAACTGTCATGTTTGGATTCCTTCTGAATTTTTCACCAAACTCTTCAGCAATCCACTGAGCAGTGAGTTGTCTAGTGTGCACATTCATATGACAGACATGCTCTTTATGCAGTTGTTTTATAGCCACACTACCTTCTCTTTCAATCACACTGGCATAAAGTCTCCAAGGGCAGCCATCTTGACATCTAGCTTCCAATTGCCTTTTGTTACACCTCATATTCTGAATATCTCTACCTTGCACAATTGCCACCCTTCTCACAGCTCTCTTGCACTGATTAATGGTTTCAAACCTCATGCCAAGCTGAAACTCAAGTGAATTATGATCACACTTGGGATCATACAATAACCTTGTTCTCTTTTTAACAAAATTCCCTTCCAAATCCATTTCTCTGTCACTATCTGACTCATCAGAGATTAGTGCATTATGTAACAATTCATCCTCTTCAAAGTCCATCTCAGCTGTGGACACTGGATGTGTATAGCTTGCATCATCATCCCAATCTTGAACTTTTTTCTTAGACTCCTTTAAGTTCTTTCTTGCCTGAAAATATTCATCATCATCGGAAAGATGATCTGTCACACCCCGCCTTACTACTAGCTTTGAAAATCAGAGTAAAATTTTTGTTTTTATTTTCGAAAGAACGTGCGAGCTGGGTTTTCAAAAATACTGACTTATTGCGGGATGTGGCAGATAAAAACTTAAACTGAAACTTGGGCTTGCCCACAGACATAATAAAACATGCAACCAAACTTCCGCTCGCGGATTATGGAATTATACATGCATAGTCTGTACTATCTCGCACTGTCTAGAAGAACTCGCTGGCGGAAGCATCCGAAATACGAATACATAACATGCGTACATAAACTGAATAAAATACACATGATCATAAATCTAGGACATAAAAATGCTGGTAAAATATGTCCGACTCTCATGACCACGCTGCGCCACATCTGTGCTCATCCGGCACGCTCGACTCCGTCTCCTGAAAAACACAATGGGGGCGTGAGCAAACCACTATGCTCCGCAAAGACCAGTACTGAACAAAACATCATCTATAATAACGTATCATGAAACATAAATATATAAGAGCTGAAACTGTAAACTGATCTCTGATGTCTGTTCTGATCTGTGGTCAAAAGACCCTCGGCCGTAGCCGCTCGTGTGCACACGCCGATGGGGTAGAAAGGGCCTCGCCCCTCCCAACGGTCATCAGGTGGGTATAAAGGCCTCGGCCACCCAACCCGGAACTAAACTGTCTCAAACATACCTCTGCCATGGTACAGATATTATCTATGATGTGACATCCAGTACATGACCCCCACCTGAAAAACTTGAAATCTGGTATGCAAGTGCGGAAGCTGGAGTAGCGGTCGGAGGCTCGACTCTCCTTAGGCTACATAAATATTTAAGCAAAATAATGCTAAGTATAATGCTCAGAATATTTAATTATATGCTAAAATGCTCGGACTTATCTACGCGATTAAACTGGACTGGACTGGCTCGGAAAAATACTGAAATTTCCGGAACTGGACTCGGATCAGAAATCACGAGTAAAAACTGACTCGAACCGCCGGTCGAACCGGCCGGTTCGCTGGCTGGCCGGACCGCCGGCTCGACTGGGCCGGGCGGTCGGGCTGGGTTCGGCTAGACCGGGCTCGGTCCCGTGCCGGGCCAGCTGGTGCCCGGGCACGGCGCTGGGCACGGCTGGTGCGACCGGGCTCGGTCCCTGGTGCCGCTGGACTTGGCTAGGCGCGGACTGGCGCTGGTGGGCACGGCCAGGGGCTGTTGGCACGGCCCGGGCACGACTGGTGCCCCTCGGGTGCGCGCTGGGCACGGCCGAGGCTTGGCTGAAGCCCTGTCGTGCGGCTGGGCACGGACTGAGGGTTGCTGGGGCGCGCTGGCGTGCACTGGGCACGGTACGGCGCGGACTGGCACTGGTCAGGGGCTACGCGGGCGCTGCCGGGCGCCCTGGAGGGTTCTGGGCACGCGGGCGTGCTGCTGGGCACGTCCCGGGCCGGCTGGGCTAGGGCAGACGCGGGACAGACACGGGCAGAGGCCACACGGGCGCTACTGGCCGTCCCCGAGGTCACTGGGCTCTCGGGCGTGCTGCTGGACACGCCCCGAGGCCGACTGGGCTCAGCTGACCCTGCTCGGGTCAGCCCTGGACTTGGCACGAGGCTCTGGCACGAGACCTCATGCGCTGGGCTTGGCACGGACGCTGCCGGGCGTCCCTGGGCACGCGGGTGTGCTGCTGGGCACATCCCGGGCCAACTGCGTGCTCGGGCTTGGCACTGGCACGACCCGAGGTCGGCTACGCATGACACGCGAGGCCATGCGTGCACTGAGGCTGGGACAGCGCGGCCAGGCGCTGTCGGGGTTGCTTGGGCGCGACGGGCGCCACGACCCCGGGTACGACGCGGACAGGCACTGCGGGCGCGCTGTCGCGGACACTGGTGCCTCGCGCACGCTGGCGCGGGCACGGACTGGCACTGGGCCGGGCACTGGCGCGCTATGTGCGCGGGCAGTGACCAAGGCCGGCCCTTGCCGGACCTCCGGCAACATTTCCGGTGACATGCAACTCCAAACATCATGATATGGTAAAATAAGCATAAATATCACATAAAACACTAGTGGACCCCGGGTCCACATGCATGATACTCGGGAGGGCCTAAATGGCACGTACGAGCAACTTGGCCTCCGAACCAACATTCATAACTTACAAAACTACTCAGGGCCGAATGATATACATCACAAATGATGACTATAATGGCTAACACTTGGGTCATACCATGCATGCATGAGGATGGGCCTCGGGTGGCCAAAATAGCGTATTTTCATGAATGAATTGACCAAGGCAATGAACTCCATTTATTCTCAAATTTTTACAGCATCAATGGTATGATATTTA